ATATGGCGCTTGACTACGGATCAAGCGATTCCAGGTTCGAGTCCTGGCACGGTCAACAATCTTTTTGCCCTTTCTTTATTCCTAAGATGCCTCTCGCTGTCATTTCTTGCTCAGAAAGTCTCTTCACAGACTTGTCTTTTTGCACTTGCCCCCGATCCACGCCATCTACTGCCGTCTCCACATACTCTCCCGTGCTAATTTCTCGCGCTACTGCCATTGTTACATAATGGCCCGCGCCTATATCAGGGCCACGGCCAAGCTCTATGTTGGAATTCTATGGCGAATTTAGTCCCAGAAATGGGCGCAGGGCTTAGTGGTCTAGAGGCATGATTCTCGCTTTGGGTGCGAGAGGTCCCGGGTTCAATTCCCGGCTGAGCCCGTCCTTTTTGCCCTCTTTTCCATTGCTGGCTTGCGTGGTGCGTATCCGCCGCGCATGACGGCCGTCTGTCTCTTGTTTCCTCTTTTATCGCATTTCCTTTTTTTTTTTTGTTGTTGTTGTTGTCAATTTACCTACTTTCACTAGTCGCCAATGTCGTATTACATACCAGACTCTGACGAGGGCGAAGAGAGCGTCCAGCCGCGCACAGTCAGCCGGCCGCGTGTAGTCAACCGGCCTCGCACTGTCAACAGACCCACGCCTGTGCGCGCTCGCCAGGCCTCCAGCAGCGGCAACACCAACGAGGCAGGCGGCAGCAACGCGCCAGCCATGTGCCTGTCAGACGCCGACGACAGCAGCGGCTCCGACGAAACCAGCTTCTTTCGCATTGCTCGCCCTAGCATAGGCCAAGCAAGCAGCAGCGTCGGCCTTGATTCCGACGACGATGGTGGTGATGGTAGTGGTGGTGGTGAGCGAGAAAAGCCCAGTGCTCACCTAGAGCTGGTCGATAGCAGCAGCAGCGGCAGCAGCAGGAGTGACAGCGATAGCGACAGCGGCGACAGCGACAGCCGTCCGCAGCACAAGTGCAGTGCTGAAAAGCGCAAGTTGCCAGACAGCGCTGGCAGCGCCGAGCACCCTAGACGACAGAGATCGCGCAGCGTGTCGCTGACTCCGCCGCCAGAGCCAGTTCGTGTCGCCACTGCAGCTGCCGCTGCACCCAGAGCCAAGCAGGGCAGCATCGAGCCAGACATCCAAGTGCTCGATTCAGACAGCGATAGTTGTAAGGACGCCAGTGCAGCAATGTCGTCGTCACGGCGCTTGCGTGCCAAAGAGATGCTCGATTTGGATCCGGCACTACAGGCCATCATGCAGGACAGCGATGCCATGGCCCGCCAGACTTCCGCCAGACCGACAACCTCAGCGCTTCCCGAAAAAGCCGTAACGACTCACGTCGAGTTTACCTTTATCTACGATGACGATTTTATCGCACACGACCTGCCCCAAATCTGGGACCCCAAGCGCTGGAAAAAAATATCGCCAAAGCAGCGCCCCCAGATAGTCAAAGCGCTCGACGCTCGCATGGCCGTGCTAGTATTTGTGACAGACACAATGGAAAAGGCGCTGCAAGCCTTCTCAGACAAATTCGCAGTCGACGTGGTTGCCACCGACCCAGTGCTGACCATAAACTCCATGCGCATCTTTCCTACCAGCACCATAGCTAGCCTGGGAATTCGCCCCGTCTATTACGTTGCTGTCTATCCAAGATCGGTGTTTAACCGCGAGCGAGAGCGCGATGGCATGGAGCGCACCCGCCGTGCCATGGAGAAGGAGCAGGCTCAGCGTGATTTAGAAATGGCCCAAACTTTACTAGGATCCACGCATGCAACATCGGACGACGTGTTGCTTATAGATGACGACGACTCGCATTCTGCAAGGGATGCGCAGAATGACCTGAATGCGCCACTCGGAGATGCCGGCAAGTCTATGCGCATCAAGGTCCGTGACAAGTCGGGCAAGGATGCTCTCCTGCTGGTGACCTCCGCTACAACCATTCAGGCCATTATTAGGAACTATATCAGCATGGCTAAGCTCGACCCGAACACGTCTGTGTCTCTTGAGTTTGATGACGAGCGCCTGGACCCCAGCACGACTATCGGCGATACCGAGATCGAGGACGATGACATGTTGACGGCCATTTGGAGGTAGATTTCTAGCCTGATCAAGAGGGTCGTATTTTGCGATCATTCGCTTAAGAGGCTCTCTTTCAGAGCTTTCG